CAATCTTAGCTACTCAGGAGGCTGAGATCCAAGGGTCATTGTTCAAAGCCAGCTGGGGCAGGAGTGTGTGAGATTTTTATCCCCAATTAACTACCAAGAAAGCTAGAAGTGGAGCTGTGGCTCAAGTAGTAGAGTGCTACCCTTGAGCAAAGAAGATCAGAGCACTGTCCTTAAGCAAATAAGCTCAGGGACAGTGTTCTGGCCCAAACTCCAGGCACCAAAAAAATTAAAAAGATTTTCAACATAGCCAGGGTTTTATACATTTCAAAAGACAATTTTACTTCAGTAGGATGGAGGGATATTTTGAGTATTTTGGCAAAGTTCTTCCTCTTTAGGTAGAAATAAGATTTTAAAAAATGAGTAATTTTCATTTTGCCTCTATAACTGGAAAAATATTCAAATTTATGGGCACATTTTGTCTGGAGCAAATATTCCCTTTATAAACGTTGAGTCTCACTTGTAGGTGGCCTTTTAAAATATACTTTATTTTATATACTGTGTTCATGCTTTGGCTTTATGCCCGACCACCCAGATTGCAAACATCAACAGTAGAAACCCACTGTTAAAGGAAAATAAACAAAAGGAAACCCTAGAAAATATTATAAGTGCTAGTAATAAATTATTCACTAGTGTTCACATTGGAGCAGTAATGACTTATAATATTAATAAGTCACAGTCCTCAAAATTGCCCCACTATTTATTAATACATTTAGTGTTTCCCATCCTTCAGCTGAGATACTTGTTGGGTGTTAGAAATAGTTGCTTATTTGTTTGTTTTACTTAATACAGAGGTTAAAAATCAAGGGCAAATACCTATATTCACAGGATTAACTAGCACCACATCCTTATATTAAGAAAATTACTGATTTTGGAAGCCAGTTGTATATAATATGTCAAGCAATCTAAAACAGAACACTGTAGACTGAATGCAAAATGACCATTCCTGACAAAACTCTTCCTCTAAAATTCAAAATCAAAGCATTTAGATGGTTTATACAGGATAGTTTGATTGTAGAGGACAGGATATATGTAATTTATTTAAGCAAAAACAAAAAAAGAGAAGTAAGGATAGGAAGAAAAGGGAGTAAGAAAGATAGGAGTAGGAGTATTCCACACAAGAAGCATACAGTCTAGGATTGAGTGACGAATACATACAAGAGGCATAATGAGGAAACCCTGTTAGAATTCTAGATGGTCTGTATAAGGCAGTGATTTTCAAATTATGTTCTGAGGAACCCCCACAGGGTCTGGTTGGCAAGGGAGTGAGGCAGCCAGCTATTGAAATCTTTAACCAAGGCAGGGCTGCAGGTGTGTTAAAAAGACTGATCTGACTGCATGCAGAGGAATGTGTTGGGAAACTATCCAGTATGTCAATGAGATGGCAGCAGTCCAAATATACTGCTCATCACTAGACTGAAAATAAAGCAGGAGGATGGACATGCGTATTCTTACCAAGGAAGAACCAACAGGTCAGGGTTACTGCACCTGAGTGAATGCTGTACCAGGAGAAGGACCCACGGAAACCTGTCTAGTAAGAGAAATTAAGAATCTCAGGATTGTCTTAAAATCTGGTACTTGCCCAGTGCTGGTGGCTCATGCCTGTAGTCCTAGCTACTCAGGAGGCTGAGATCTGAGGATCACAGTTTCCAGCCGGGGCAAGAAAGTCCATGAGACTCTTATCTGCAATAAACCACCAGAAAAACCCGAAGTGCCACTGTGGCTCAAGCAGTAGAGCGCTAGCCTTGAGCTGAAGAGCGCAGGGACAGCGCCCAAGCCCAGAGCCAAGCCCACAACCGACCAAAAAAAAAAAAAAAATCTGGTACTTGTGTGTATAAGAATAAATATGTTGGGGGGGGGGGTATGATTGGGTGGGAGGGAGGGGGGAGGCTGGGAAGGGAGGTGAAGGGTAAACAAAGGAGGAGGCTGCAATGCTTGGTAAGAAATGTATGCATTATCCTGCCCATGTAATTGTAACCCCTCTGTACAGTATGTTCTCAAATAAAATAAAATTAAATTAAAAAAAAAAAAAAAAGAAAGGCAAAAAAAAAAAAATAAAATAAAATGCTGCTACAAACAAAAAAAAAAAAAGAATAAATATGTAAGGTAATACTTTGGTTCTATGCATGTTCTAAAGAGAAATATAAAGTGGATTAAGTTAATAAATCGTATTATATGGGAACTACAACTGGAATGGTTAAACTTAACAAATTATTCTGTGTCTGCCCTCACAGAGCTAGGAATTAAGTTCTCATGTACTCATGTATGGCTATCATATGTGTTTCCTAGAAGTCATTAAGTGGAAATTTTTTTCTGTGTAGGGGCTAGGGAGTATGTGGGGGGGGGGGGAGAGGGGGGGGGAGTAATGAAGTTAAGTAGGGAAGTCCTAAGCTCTTCAGAGCTAAAGTTTCCATAACCAGAAACTGAAAGTTGGCACTTCTGGTAAAGTGGCATTCCCCAGCTAATATGGTTATGTAAGGCAAAGACTGATCATGATGTGGCTTCTGGTTGGTAAGAATCCCTAGCAGAGAATAAGACACTGTGTTTCTCTTACCTGGTGACATGGTGACATAAAGCCACAATATGAAGGACAAAGAAGTCACTAGGAATTTACTGTCCCCCCCCCATAGAAAAAAAATGTTATAAATGAGATAAACATAGAGAGATGTACATTTTGCTCAATATAAGAAAGGATTAGCCAAGCATGATGTGTATGTCTGTAATCCAGCACTCCAGGAAGGTTAAAACAAGAGGATTGAGAGTTCAAGACCAGCATGTGCTTGTCTCATAAATGCAAACATTGATTTGCTATAAAAGGTTCACAAATACACAGCATCATTATAGTCTGAATTACATACACAAGTTGAAGTTTTAACCCCCTGTATTTGACTGTCTGGTCTAGAAGGACGTGATTAAATTAAATGAGAGATTAACAGTAGGCCCTAAACATAGTTTTGTTGTTTAAGCCATCAGCATGGAGCATTTTGCAAATTAAAATCATGCATTTTGGCAAATTCATAAGCAATTATTTTTGTAACAACTTAAAAAACTGCCATTTACAGGCTGGGAAGGTGGCTCAATGGTAGAGCGCTTGCTTTGCGTGCATGAGGCCCTGAGTTCAATTCCTCAGCACCACATAAGCAAAAAAGAAAAAAGCCGGAAGTGGTGCTGTGGCTCAAGAGTGGTAGAGCACTAGCCTTGAGCTGAAGAGCTGAGGGACAACACCCAGGCCCAGAGTTCAAGCCCCACAATAAGAACCCAAAAATAAAACAAACTGCCATTTGCCATGTAGAATAGACAAAGGACTTAGAATCAACGATCTCCCAGTATATAATACACCTAACAAAGAGATCCTGGTTTCAGATACTGTCCTTAGTAAAATTAACTGGGGACTACTGGGGCTTGAATCTAGGAATAGGACAGGAAATATACATCTGACATGAACCCAAGCGTATCACATAGTGCCAGAAAGCAAAGAAGTAGTCAAAAAAAACCTCACAATAATCAGATACATCAAAGGGCACAAGAGCCAATTGAAAGATCTTCCGGTGGCCAAAGCATTCAGCAGCAAAATAAATAGCATCCAGTTATGACCCAGAGTGTAAAACAAATACCCATACTGATAGTAATAAATCATTAATAGACAAGTAGAAGAATTCCAAATGATTTCTTTAGACACTACATAACTCCCCACTCAATCATGAGCTGTGCATAATGACTTCCCTCCAGAAGGATATTGTTTGAAAAGTGTGGAAAAAAAATAAACTCTACAAGGCAAAAATCTGACAAAACACTACTTTATATACGTGGAGTTTCTGTTGTTATTTTTATAGTTGTTAGAGTTATTGTCTCCCATCACTGGAGATTGGACTCAGGACCTCTTATTTGCTGCTAGTGCTCTTACTACTTGTACCACACCTCTAGCCTATGGTTGTTTTTTGTTGTTGTTGTTGTTGTTGTTATATTTTGTTTTAATGGGTTTGTTTTTTTGGTTTGGTTTGGTTTGGTTCGATTTGGGGGGGGTTTTTTGGGTTTGGTTTGTATTTTGTCTCTGCTTCCTGAGTAGCTGATATTACAGGCATGGCTAACATACCTGGTTTGGGGTTGAGGGTTGTTTGTTGTTTTGGAGATTTTGTTCTTTTAGAATTTTTTTTTGTGTGTGTGGGATTGGCATTTTAACTTGGCCTTTATTGCTAGGCTGGTGCTTTATCACTTAAGACATGCATCCAGCCCTTTCATTACTCGTTTTGGGGTGGTTTTGTTTTTGTTTTCTTTACATACTGGAGCTTTACTCTTGTTCAGCTTTTTGCTCACTGGCTAGCATTCTACCACTGGAGCCATGCCTCCACTTTGCTTTTACCTGGCTTTTTAGAAATAAGAGTCTCAAGGAGACAGTCTGTGAATATCAGCTACAAACCTCCATTCTCAAATCTCAGCCTCCTAAATAGTGAGGATTATAGGCATAAGCCCCAGGTACTTGGCTTTTTTTTTTGTTTGTTTTGTTTTTTTGAGATAAGATCTTGTAAACTTCTCTGTCTGGGCTGACCTCAAAGGTAGACTTCTCCCAGCCTCCCAAGTAGCTAGGATTATAGGTGTATATATACCTGTACCCTGGCCTTCAACCTTGATCTTCGTATTTACTCCAGCTTCTAAGTAGCTTAGGATACATGCCTTATCTACCGTACTCACTAATACTTATTTTTTTAAGTCTTACAAGCATCATTGTGTTTGTTTGTTTGTTTTAGTGTTTTGTTTTTTGGGTTTTTTTTGCCAGTCCTGGGGCTTAAATTCAGGGCCTTGGGCACTATTCCTGAGCTTCTTTTGCTAGTATTCTACCACTTGAGCCACAGTGCTACTTCTGGCTTTTTCTGTTTATAAGGTACTGAGGAATCGAACCCAGGGCTTTATGCATGCTAGGCAAGCACTCTATTACTAAGCCACTTTCCCAGGCCCATCACTGTATTTAATTAATCTCCTTTTTCCTTTTTTTTTTTTACTTTTAGGCTGGTGTTTGGAATGCTTTATCCTGCATATTATTCATATAAAGCAGTGAAAACAAAAAACGTGAAGGAGTATGTAAGTATATTTACTTGTTTGTAGTTTGTATAGTACTGGGTCTTGAACTTCAAGTCTCATACCAGGCTAGACTGGTGCTCTTCCGCTTGATCCTTACAGTGGTTCACACCTATCATCTTAGCTACTCAGGAAGCTGAGATTTGAGAATCCTGGCTCAAAGCCAGTTGAACAGACAAACCCAGAAAATTGTTATCTCTAATTAACCAGCAAAAACTGGTAATAGATGTTATTTAGGAATTAGCCAATGAGCTGTTAAAAATAATTCCATTTATTATTATGCATCAATTTTGTTAATTTTTTTGAAGACTAAAGCATAAGGTTGTGTGTTTTATTGTGTTAGTATAACACTCTGATTTTCATTACTAGATTATTTTGAAAATTTGAAATTTTTAACACTTATAATTCTGCTTTGTAAATTAAAATACTTTAAACAATGGAATATGGATATTCTTACTCAGTTTTTTTTTGGGGGGGGGAATGTCCGGTCGTGGGCCCTGAACTCTGGGCCTGGGCACTATCCCTCAGCTCTTCAGCTCAAAGTTAGCGCTCTACCACTTGAGCCACAGTGCCACTTTCGGCTTTTTTCTTTTTGCTTATGTGGTGCTGAGGAATCGAACCCAGGGTCTCATGCATGCAAGGCAAGCGCTCTACCACTGAGCCACCTTCCCAGCCCATTCTTACTCAAATTTTTGAGAAAGTTGAAATTTTTGGTACTATTTTTTCATTCCCAATTTACCTTGGGCAACAGTTTTGGGGGTTTTATGTTTTGTCTTTTTGTTTTGTGGGGTTTGTTACTGTATTTTGTCTTGCTTTTTGGTGATAATTAGGTTTGAACTCAGGGCCTCACACTTAATATGTGGATAGTCTATCACTTGAGTCATACCCCATCTCCTATTGCTTTAGTTTATTTTATTTTTATATAACCCTATAGGTCAGAAATCTAAAATAAGTCCATAAGACTACCTTTCTCCTTGCCTTTCCCAGCTTCTGCAGACCACCCACGTTCTTTGGGTTACCACTCTTTTCCTCCATCTTCAAAGCCAACAATTTTGGACTGAAACCTTTTTCTACCCCCCCTCTACCTCCTCTATAAGGGCTTTGTGATTACTTATACCCACTTAAACCAAGATAATCCCATCTCAGGATTGTCTGGTTAGCAGCTTTACGCCACCTCCATCTTACTTTCCCCTTATCTTTAACATATTCATAGTTTCCAGGATTAACACATATTCTGCCTGTCATGTTACTATCCCATCCATCCTTACTGCAACCATATCAAATAGGCAAAGGAAAGATTCCAATTTTCCAAGCTCAAAGAAGAATTAATAGGCTCAGAATCACATGAGTCAGTGAAGGCAGTATTGATACCAGATCAGAGACCTTGGAGTTTCTAATTCCTTATTTTTTCCGTTCTGTCATACTACGTTTAGAAATGGAGATAAAAATTCTAGTGCCACAAAAAATTCAGACAGCTTTGATAGCCAGCCAGTGAATTTACTTGTGATTAATTCAAACATGGACCTTTGGAGCCACAACCCTGGAAACAATATGGTTATTTTCCTGAAGGACAATGAGGCAAAACCAGGCAGGATACACAAGTCTCCAAATCAACTGTGTTTTTAAAGTTCTGTAAAATTGTGACAGTTCTTCAAGTATTTCCAGTCTAATTTCACTGAAAGAAATGTTGAAGATTACTTTCATGACCTCAAGAGGCTGAGTCTCAATGTAGTTATTCAGTTGTAACTAATTTTAACTGTTTTATCAAAACACTGTCCCTATTATATTTTCCTATATGTTAATTACATCCAAATTTACTTTGTTTTGTATAAAGTACTATTTCACTAAAGTTAACCTTCTAAAAATTGCTATGAGACCAAACATGGTGATAGATATAAGTCCTAGGGTGGCTGAAGGAGGAAAATCAAGTGTTCTGGGTTAGCCTGGGCTCCTAGTGAGACTCAAAAACCAATAACAAAAGACAATACTCCATTGCTCTGTGTGTGTGTGTGTGTGTGTGTGTGTACTCCATTGCTGTGTGTGTGTGTGTGTGTGTGTGTGTGTGTGTGTGTCAGTCATGGGGCCTGAACTCTGGGCCTGGGCACTGTCCCTCAGCTCTTCTGCTCAAGGCTAGCTCTCTACCACTTGAGCTACTGTGCCACTTTTGGCTTTTTCTGCTTATGTGGTGCTAAGGAATTGAACCTAGACCTCATGCTTGCAAGGCAAGTACTCTACCATTGAGCCACCTTCCCAGCCCTCCATTTTATTTTGAATACCTCTTCATACTCTCTAATTTTGTACTCCTCATTCGCATATGTGTTTCTTCTACTAAAATAAGGGAAATGTTTGTCTTAATCGTTAAATTCCCATTTCTAGAACAGTATATGGTATATAGTACTTTGAAAGAGTGAATGAACCAAAGACTGAATAAATGAATAAGGAAAAGAGAAAAGTTGATTTTTAAATATATATGTGAAGTATTAGATTGGGTTAACAAAAGCACATGCATTTCATAAGTGGATTGGTCTATTTTCTTAGCTTTGATTCTTCTGGATTAGGGCATGTGCAATCCAGACTGAACACTTACTCCAAAGCTCGTCAGTGTCTTTATGCTATTTGGTTAGACCCAAATTCTGGTGATATCTACTTCAAAACTGTTCTCTAAAAGCAAACATTTTCAGTTAATTTACTTCTTCCCACCCTAACTACTACCATTTCCCTTAAGCCTACAAATGGTAGATTGCACCTGATACAACAGATGCTGTGTTCTAATCAAAACAAATGGAAAGAGCTGTGTATTTTGGCAACTTTCCTTTCTTCCTTTGCCTATTTTTATAACAGAGCTTTCCTAGGATATAATTTCCGGGGTAGTGTGGCTGATATGGCCTACTTAAAGACTTTCAGTTGCAGTAATTGAAATGTAAACTTACTGAAGAATTAGTATGGTTTTGCAAAATTTTTCAGTTCCATACCATCTTTTGACTTCCAAATAGAGTGTTTACTTCCAATTCGTGTATAATTGCTATAGCTTTTCTAGGAAGCCAATGTTCTTATTCTGAGAACATTGGAGAATGCAGCAATGAAAAGATTGGCCAACAACACTTAAAAGTTAAAGACAGACATGTGTTCCTAAGATTTTCTAAGAGCAAGAACAAAGAACAGGAAAAACTCCTTTGTGAGATTACTCTTTAAAAGGCTTAGAAATGGACCTTCTAAAACTACTGAATTTTTGAAAATGACCTAATTTTTTACTTAATATTTAGGCAATAGAAAAATGAACACTTGTAACACATGCAACTTATGCAGTTTTTATTGATTAGTAAAATCTGAAGAAATTGGCCAGTTTTAGGGTGGAGACAAAAAAAAACATACTGAAGAACTTCACTCTCAAGAAGTATCCCTTCCAGGTACCCTGGTTCTGGCCTGTTATCTAGCTACTTGGGTTGTTTAGATCTGAGGATTAAGGTTTAAAGCCAGCCCAGGTAGGAAGCCCATGAGATTCTTATCTCCAAATAACCATTAAAAAAAAAATGGAAGTGCACTAGTAATAAAGTAGTAAGAGTACTAGTCATGAGCAGAAGCTAAGGGACAATGAAACAAACATTGAGTGTAAGATTATATAATTGGTGGATTGAAAATAAATGCCTAATGTAGGTCCTTTTAAAATCTTAGAATGTGAATGAATATAATCTTTGACCTTTATAAAGTACATTGAAAACATTCCCACAATTTCCACACAGAGATGTAGCTAGCCAAGTGCTGTAGCTTCCAATGAAAAAGTCTTTGGGAAACATAGACAGAACAAAATTCTCACAGTGATACTAAACCTAAGAGGCTAAGTCAGGCTTTTGCTAATATGTAGGAAGAAATTTACCAACCGTAGTGCCAGTGGAAATGGATTTTAAAACAGAGACAGAAACAGTTGTTTCCATTAAAGGAAATGTTGCTAAGAAGTAAACTGGAATGAAGCCTAGCCACCTCCACCCTAATCCCTAGTGATGGAACAGATTCAAATCATAAAAACGACAATCACCGAAAAAAACTTAGCTGCCTCCACCCTCACTGCAGAGAACTGTAATAGAAGGAGCCAGTGTTCTGCCTTCCCTTCCTTTATTCAGAAACTACAACCTCACCATTTTATAGAAATCCTCAATTAGTTCCAAAAAACAAGAAATAATAATTGCCTGGGAGAGGAAAGTAGGAAGACCTCTGTCCAAGGCTGGCTTTGGACAGAAAGCCATACATCCTACCTGAGAAATGAACTAAAGCAAAGAAGTATAAAGGGCCCAGCTGACGTGATAGTGTACTTGCCTAGGCAAGCAGAAGGACCTGGGTTCAAACCCCCAAATACTGCCAAAATAAAGAAAGCACAAACATGCCAACATACACACATACACAGACCTAAGTAAGGGGGAGGTATAGAAAAGGGATTGAAAATTTGTTTAAACAGAAGTGTTTAAGAGCTGGGCCTTGTAATCTCAGGCCTGTCAGCCTAGCTACTCAGGAGGCTGAGATCTGAGAAGCCTGGTTCCAAATCAGTTCCAGAAAAGACTGTGAGATTCTTATTTCCAAATAACCAGCAAGAAGTAAGATAAGAGGTGTGTCTCCAGTAGTTGAGCACCAGCCAGATAGTGAGTTTGAGTCCTAATCTCAAACAAACAAACAAAAATATTTTTTTAACCATGCAATAGGCCAGAAGTAGAATGGAGGCTTAAGTGGTAGAGCACTAACCTTGAGATAAAAAAAAAAAAGTAAAGGAGAACTTCACGGCCCAAGTTCAAAGCCCTAGTACTAGCATACAAAAAAAACATTTAAACAAGCAGTTCTAAACTGAAGTGACAAGAGATATATTAAATTACCCATAAAGTTTGTTAGTAAGAAGTGGAATGTTTTCTAATACTGTTAATTATATCTGTTTTTCAACTAAAGGTTTACACAGGATCTGCTTTTGGAATGCTCAGATATGTACATTGTCTTTCCATTATGTAATTTTAGAAATATAG